TTTTTAAAATTTATTTATTTATTCTAATTTGCTATACATGAGAGCCAAATGCATTTCAATTCACAGTACACATATGAAGCATAATTTTTCATTTCTCTGGTTGTACACAAAGTAGAGTCATACCATTTGTGTCTTCATACATGTACCTAGGATAATGATGTCCATCTCATTCTACCATCTTCCCTACCCCTATTCCCTTCTCTCCTCCTCCCACCCCACTGTCCTATCCAAAGTTTCTCCATTCTTCACATGCTCCCACCTCCACCCACACTATGGATCAGTATCTACTTATCAGAGAAAATATTCAGCTTTTGGCTTTGGGGATAGGCTTATTTCAATTAGCATGCTATTCTCCAACTCCACTTATTTACCTGAGAATTCCATGATATTATTTTCTTTTAATGCTGAGTAATATTCCATTGTGTATATATACCACAGTTTGTTTATTCATTCATCTATTGAAGGGCATCTAGTTGGTTCCACAATTTAGCTATTGTGAATTGTGCTGCTATAAACATTGATGTGGCTGTCACTGTAGCATGCTGTTTTTAAGTCCCTTGGGTATAGACCAAGGAGTGGGATAACTGGGTAAAATGGTGGTTCCATTCCAAGTTTTCCAAGGAATCTCCATACTGCTTTCCATATTGGCCGCACCAATTTGCAGTCTCACCAGCAATGTATGAGTGTGACTTTTCCCCCACATCTTCACTAACACTTATTGTTGTTTGTATTCTTAATAGCTACTATTCTGACTGGAGTGAGATGAAATCTTAAAGAGTAGTTTTGATTTGCATTTCTCTAATTGCAAGAGATGTTGAACATTTTTTCATATATTTGTTGACTGATTCTATATCATCTTCTGAGAATTTTCTGTTCAGTTCCTTGGCCCATTTATTGACTGGGTTGTTTGGGGTTTTTTGGTGTTAAGTTTTTTGAGTTCTTTATATATTCTGTAGATCAGTGCTCTATCTGATGTGCATGTGGTAAAAATTTGTTCCCATTCTGTAGGCTCTCTCTTCACTTCACTGATTATTTCTTTTGCTGAGAAGAAGCTTTTCAGTTTGAATCTATCCCATTTATTGATTCTTGATTTTATTTCTTGTGCTAGCTATAGGAGTCTAATGACTTATCATCACATTTCCATAATCCCACATCCTCTATTCTCACCTGCTTCTGATATCTGATTTTATTTTCCTCTTCTATTATGTCCTAGTCACAGAATATATTCTAACATTCTTCAGTGCTAATGTCTATAATGCTAATATATATTTTTCATAAAATCTAGGCATTGTTTTATTGACATTATAAGTAGCTACCTGTTTCCCATTTATTCCAGGGAATTTGTGGGTAACTGTTATCATTCTGCTTTACTATGATTTCAATTGATTCTTTTTTTCTCCCTCATCCTTAATATCTTTAATAGCATAAGTTCTCTTAACTGTTTCCAAAACATATACTGAATCTGTTTACTTCTTTCCATCTCTCTTGCTACCATTTTAGTCCAAAACACTATCATCGCTTGCACCTAGAACAATGTGGCCACCTGTCTTGTTGCAATACTTATCCCCCCCCCCCCGCAATACATTCTCCATACTATACCCATAAAGAGCTTATTATAACACAAATTCAATCACATTACTTTCCTCCTCAAAGCCTACTATGGCTGTCCATCACAACAGAATAAAATCCAAACTCCTTACCATGGCCTTACAAAGCCCAACATGAATTATGTATAACTATAATCACCAATAAAAAAGGGGGGATGAAGAAAGTGTGCCCAACATGATTAGGTCCCAGCCTACCACTTCAAGATTCTCTCTCTCTTGCACATTAAAGAGCTGCACTGGTCTTTTGACCATTTCAGAATAAGCCAAGCTTGTTGTTATAAGCCTTGGGAACCCTGTGCTCAAGCATTCCTTTGCCTGGACACTTACTTTAGATCTTTATAGCTCAGCTCTTCCTCATCATTCAGGGATCCATTCAGGGATCCTCTTCAAAGAGACCTTCCCTGACCACTCTGGTTAAAGCAGGGCTTCCAACCATGTTCTAGTACCTCACCCAGTTTTATTTTTCTTCTAGCACTTATCACTATCTGAAATTTTCATCTAATTATTTCCTGTATATCTTCTTCCTCATAACTAGGGACCTTGTCTAGCTTGTCTGCTATTATAACCTATGCCAAAATAGTTCCCAGGACATTGTGAATGAAAATAATTGTGTATTGAATGAATGACCTCCTGAGGCCTTGGTTCAGAATTCTTTGTCTCTGAACAAAAATTTAAGTTTAATAACCTGAGTGTTATATATGTTTATTTAGTCATACTATGCTTCTTTAAGAAAAGCATATGAACAAAAAGCATTTTATTCACTTGTAAATTTACATTTCTTCTTCTTTGTCTTAAAAATATTATGGCTAGGATGGCTAAGGACTCTATAAATATAACACAGCCAAAGAATGGGAAAAAAGAAAACAAAAGAATCAAATTATGTTAAACTTCCCAAACTAAGTTGTTTCCCAATCATAAATGTATCTGTTCATGCTATTTTCCTTTAAAAAAATGAAAAAATATCTATTTTATAGGTGGAACTCTTAGGGATTTAAGATTTTGGAAAGTTAGTTCTTCTTCTTAATATTATAATTTCCATTTTGATTTGATTATCACTACCTGAATAAGTGGAGACTAAATCTGCATCTATGTTAAAAGTACTTAAATAAATTCCTTATGGTCACATGTTCCTATAGGTCATTCATTCATCAACACACATGTGCATTAGCCACATTTTAGGCAATGTGCTAAAGAGGCAGAATGACTTACTACTGTTTCTGCTCAGGCAGAGAAACATGGAGGGACAAAACAAGGCTACTTATATTAAGCTCGAGAGGTCAGGAAAAGGGTCTGAGTGGAACTCTTGACACCTGGGAAGAGTATTGCCATAAATGCATAAGAGATAATGGGAAAGGAGTTCCAGATAAAGTGGGCAAATATCAGAACCACAGAGCACATGTGAGGGATGGCCAGAAAGATGAGGCTTATATGGACCCTTAGGGATTTGTACATACATTCTCAAGATTGAGATTTCTGTAGGAGAAACCTTTCACTTTCAGTCTGACAAAAATTGAAAAGAAGGGAAAAAAAGATTTTTTTAAAAAAGGGTACTCTGGGTCATCTGGATGACCACTTTTAGTTGAGTGTTACAAGATTTCAGTTCACACATTTGGTTCAGACACATTTGTGTCACATTTGTTGCACCACTTGTCATTGGTGCAGGATGAGAAAGAAATGGGGACTATTATACATAAATGACATTTTCAAATGAAGGTTCAGTGAAGTTATGAACCAACAGGGTACAGTGATGCATGCCTGTAATCCTACCTACTCAAAAGCCTGAGGCAGGAAGATTTCGAGTTCAAAACTAGTCTTAGGAAACTTAGCAAGACCCCATTTCAAAATAAAAAATTAAAATGGTTGGGAATATAGGGCAGTAGTAAAGCACTCCTGGGTTCAACCAAGTAAATAAACAGAAGTCATGACACACCAAATAAAGGAAATTTTTGCAGTGGTTTAACAAAGAAAGGAACATCGAGTGATCTCTTGACACTAGGGAAAATGGATAGGCTTTTCAATAAGGAAGAGGTTAAATATTCTTATTGGACATAAGGTGTAAGTATTCATTTGAATTTATTGATTTTATAGTTTTGCTTCATTTTTAAATGCTTAGGTGTTATAGTTGTATAAAAATACAATATAAAGAGTTTATACCTAGTTTCATACTTGATTTTATGTTTAACATACTGAGATATTTTAAGTTAGAATGGAGGATCCTGGGTACCAGTTCTGGTTTGAGAAATTCTGCTGTAAGTGACAGGGAACCACTGAAAGATTGTAACATGCGAACAGCTTTGTGCTTTAGAAAAATCACTCTGGAAGAAGGGATCATTGGAACTGAAAGTACCAAACTGAAAGAACAGTTAGGAGGCTACTTAATAATATGATAAAAATGGTAAGGCCCCAAATTACTCAATGAAATGAAGATGAGACAATAAGAGAACAGAAGGACTTGGCTGTGGTGAGGTAAAGGGAGACATCTAGATAGAATGACTCTGGCTTGGGTGTTTTGGTGGTGAGATAAAGACCACAGGAAGACAAACAAGTGAAGGCAAAGAGGAAGGAGAAAAGAGAGATAATGAGTTCAATTCAGCAATGACTTCAATTTCATTCCAGCCAAAGAAAATCCAGTTATGTTTTCTGGGTTCTAGTTTTCTCAGTGACAGCTGCATTCATGAATTACCAAATTAACTATTGTAGTGCTGTCTAAAAATAAAGCACTCCACTGTATGCTCTAAATAAGTCGTGAAAATCAGCAAAAGCCAAGCTCTGAAGGAAATGCATCAAGGTTAAAAAGAGATATGATTTTTTTTTTTTTTTTTTTACTGAATTTAAATTGTGACCCAGCGCACTCACCAGTACTGTAATTTTTGAACTGCCAGTCAGACATGATCACTCACCTTCCTAGAACACCTAAGTACTAGATGGAGATGCAAAGACCTCTCTCAGGGACCTACAACAAAACAATGGGACAACTTCTGGCTTAAGATTATTGAAATTTTAGTGCACTGGAAACTTTGAACATATAGGCAGGGCTAGTTAACAAAGTATGCTATCTTTTACTTACAGAAATCAAGGTGGAATATCTTAGGTAGTCCTATAAGAATGTAAGCATTTCATATTTTATTCCCTTTAAGTGGGGCAGGGTATGGGATTGGAATGGAGAGGAAGGAAAACGCAGCAATTATCGCAATACCAGTCATTTTCCGCAGGCCACACAAAAGGCGGGCCTCTGAGAAGGAGAGTAATTCAATCCTAGTTTGGTGGGAAAGCCATCATCTTTCACCACTAATCATAATACAAAAGCAAAGTGTTTATACAAATAAAATGTTTAACAGTTAACCTCATCCACGACGTCTAACGAGCGGCTGAAGGGAAAGCCTCGGGGCGTACCTTTGGAGAGTGGTCACACTCGACACAGCCCCTGCGGGCGCCTGGCTTGAGCCTCCCAGAGCGAAAGCCAGGGGCGGCAGGAGACGGGGTACCAGAGAAGCAATGACCCCTGAGTGCAGCACAGGAAACTGGACCAGGAGGCGGCAACACAGCGCCCCCAGGGGTCTTCCTTGCGCGCCGCTACCAACCCGAGAAAGCTCTCGAGCCGCACAGCACAACCCACACCTTTGCTGGACCCAAGAGGGCGTTCTGAAGGCGGGGCCACGGCATGCTGGGGCGGGGCTGGGGCAAGAACGCGTTTCCTGTTGCCTGATGGGAGTTGTAGTCCAGGAGGAGGCCAGCGTGCCCTGGGAACTACATTTCCCTCTGAGGTAGCGGCTACGGCAGGCCGCGAGGTAAAGCGGCTTTGCATTGTCCGCGGGCGGAGAGCGTCTTAGGGGCAAGACAGGAAGGGGGCGTTTTTTTCTTCCCCTCTTCCCGTTCAGGTGGTGCGTGCTTTGCGTTCCCTCGCCCAGTTACTGGGTACCCAGTACCCGGCTACCCGGTTAGCTTTCTTTTGAGATTCGGAGGTAGCTGTTTCTGCCCTACGTGGGAGTGAGGGGCCAGCCCCTCTTCCGCCCAGCCAACCCTGCGCGCCGATCGCTCATCCATGGGCCCAACCCGGAAGCCCAACGTGTGCCGGAGGCTGAGTCGCCGGGCGCTGGGCTTCTTCGCGCGCGACGCAGGCGTGGTGCAGAGGACGAACCTGGGCATCCTTCGGGAGCTGGTGTGCCAGGTGACCTCCCGCTGGTCGCGGGCAGAGTGGAGGCAGCGGGGCGCCTGTGGTCAGACTTCCTGCTGGGGTGCAGTTTTTGCATTCTAGGGCTCCCTTTTGAGTGTGTTTCATGTGACGGGAAGGGGGAATACGTGTCGTGCACCTGGGGGATTAGTAAATAGGTGTTAATAGGGCCGCCATATGGTTTTAGTTTTAAGCTGCTTATGCCTTCCCGCAAACTGTGTTTCTAAAAGTTGGGCACCCAGTTTAACCTAAACGCGAGGGCAGGGTGAGGAAGAATTCAAAGTGTTTTTAAATAGCGTATGTGAAATTACTTTGAAAATGATATATTTACCCTACTTAAAATGGATGCACAGAGTGGAAACTTATGAATTCTTTCCTAAACCGAAATCCCTTGTATTTTTCAGGAAAGTACTAAATTTAAGAATGTTTGGACAACTCATTCCAAGTCACCTATAGCTTATGAGAGAGGAAGAATATATTTTGACAATTATCGGTGCTGTGTTAGCAGGTAAATTTTTAGTGATAATTTTTCAGACTGTTGATCTCATCAGTAAGTTTTATAGAATCACATGCTTACATTAATGTACAGGAAAATAGAAGAAAGGGAAAATAGGTCCGAAATAAGACTAGGCAGTAAAATGCACGTAATTTAAAAATCTTAAGTCTAAAATTGTGGGTTTACTCTTTAGAAATACTGTATTAAAGCACAACTACATTTAATCCAGGCAAAATAATACATTTTTCCCCACATTTTTATCAGTGCATCATAGTTGTACATAGTGATGGAATTTGTTGTCACATATTCTTATTATGCATACAGCACAGCAATATAACTTGTCTAATATCATTCCACAGCACTTCCCCCCTTTCTTCCTGCCTCATTATTTATAAAACTTAAAGATACCAGAGTCCTGAAAGCTGGTTAGTATATAATTAGATGCTGCTTTTTTAAGAGAAAAATTTTCAAACAAAATAATAGTATTTATAGATCCAGAATGTTTAACAGTTAACCTCAACCACAACAGTCCAACGTGAGGCTACAGGGAAAGCTGCAGTGAATCAGAAACCTAGAATCAGAAACTATCAAGATTTGCAACACTCTCTTTCTCTCATCCATATCCCCTTTCCTTTACCTCTGTGCTAGGTATTTTAAAGCATATTCTGAACATGCTTCAGTGTGTATCTCTTAAAAAATCTTGGGCATTTTCTTTTTAAGAACTTTATTAAGATAGTTATATACCATACTATTTCTCCATGAAAAATGTACAATTGATTTTTTACATTCACAGATACACACAGCCATCACCATAATTATACATTTTCATTGTTGTAAAACAAAAGACAATCTTGAATGCTGTGATCCTAAATTTAGAAATCCCCCAAAATCAAAATCCCCAAAATTATAATCCTAAGAGATTTAAATGCCAAATGTTGAAATTTTAAAAGCCGAAATCTCAAAAACTGTAATACTTATGGGCAAAAGACTATAAAAGAAGGCAAAAAAGCCATATTCAGGGCAAGGGAAGGGACTAGTGTATATTTGTTTGTATACAGGACCATTTCATGGGTAGTACTGGTATCAACAGAATATTCCTATTTTCTCCCTCTTTTATAACATCATTTTAGTTGATATAAAGATATCTTTAAACATTTTTGTTATAATCACTGAATATCTTTTTGCTGTTTTTATTTTCAACAAACTTTTTAAATTCAATAAAGAAAAACAAGGAATTTTATTTTACCTTCATTTATGTCTTCTCTAACACTTCCATTTTTAGACCTGACTTATAACATTTTCCTTTCTCTGAAAAATGTTTTGAATATTTCTTACAAGGCAAGATATTCTCAATTTTGTTTATCTGGATAGTCACTTTTGAAGGATAATTTTTCTGGATACAGAAATTCTAGGCTGTGGAGTTTTTTTGTTTTCTTTCAACACTATAGATATTTCACTTGGTTCTTGTTTGTATGATCTCTGAAAGAGAAGTTTGATGTAATTCTTCTCTTTGCTCCTCTATAGATAAGGTGCCTTCCCCTCCCTGCTTCTCTTTAAGATTTTCTCATTTTTTTAAAAAGAATTTAACCTGTATTTTTTATTTATTTGTTTTTTATATGGTGCAGAGGTTCAAACCCAGTGCCTCACCTGTGCTAGGCAAGTGCTCTACCACTGAGCTACAGTCCCAGCCCTTTCCTCATTTTTTTTGTTTTCTGCTGTTTGAATATGATATATCTACGTGTAGTTTCTTTTTCTTTTTTTTTCTTTTTAACTTCCCTAGTAGTGTTTCTGAGCTTCCTGGACTTGTACTTGGGCGTCTCGTGAGTTTTGGAAAATTCTCAGTCCTTATTTTAACTATTTCTGTTTTTCTCCTTCTGGTATTCCCATTGTGTGTACATTATACCTTTTCTTAATTGTCCCATAGTTATTGAATATTCTGTTCTATTTTTTTCTTTTTTCTTTTCAGTTTGGGAAATTTCTGTTGACTTCTCTTTGAGCTTACTGATTCCTCAGCTGTATCCAGCCTACTGATGAGCCATTTTTCACTTCTACTATAGTGTTTTTGATTTCTAGTATTTCCTTTTGATTTTTATCTTTCTATTTAATTGGCCATCTCTTCTTGCTTGTTGTCCACTTTTTCCCTTAGAGCCCTTAACATATTAATCATAGTGGTGTTGTTGTTTTGCCTTACTGTTAAACCCAGAGCCTTGTGCATAATGGGCAAGTGTTCTGCCACTCAACCACACAACTAGCCTTTTTTTTTTTTTTTTTAATTTTTTAAACAGCCTCGTTGAGTTGCCTAGACTGGTCTCATACATGGGATCCTTCTACCTCAGCCTATCAAATAGCTGGGAGTTCAGGTTTAACCACAGGTTTTTTAAGTTCCTGATCTTATAATTCCAGAATCTCTGCCATATCTGAGCCCAGTTCTGATGCTTGCTTTGTCTCTTCAAACTTTGTATTTTGCCTTTTAGCATGCCTTGTAATTTTTTTGTTGAAGACTGTATGACATATTAGGGAAAAGGAATTGAGGTAAGTAGGCCTTTAGATTTTATGTTTATCTGGGTGAAGCTATTATTATTTGATGTAACCATAGGTATCAGAAGTTAAATTTTTCTTATTGTCTTGTTTATGTCTTCCCATTACTGGTTCCAGTGGCTTGTTTCTTGGATTCTGTTCCTGCTAACCTGTGATTCTTTCCCTGTAACCTCAATTCTCTGATGGATCTAAGAATAATTGTTAATTTTTTAATTGTTTAGCTATTTTCTAATGAGTTCAAGCATCACAACTTCTGCTCTTTTCATGTTGCACCAGAAGCAGAAGTTAGAATAGTCTGCATTTGGAGTTTGTTCTGAACTCAGAAGGGCTCCTTCAGTTAGCTTTTTCTGGTTCACTCTGGCAAATTAGCCAGACAATAATTTAGCCTGTATTTCAAATGAATCTGCCTATCTCCCATTTGTCTTTTACCACAATCTTCACTTGTTTTGACAGTGCACTTAGGCTTGATCTTCTCCACATCTGTTGTAAATAAAGTCAGTTTTTCTAGAAGGAACTAGGGACTATCTGTTTTATGACCTGCATTTCCCAGGCAAAATCTTCAAACCAGCACTCTTAGTAAATGAAACTCTTCTCTGTGAGTCACATCCCTGCTCTAAAAGCTGAACTTGTAGGTTTGAGGGAACACTAGCCTTACATCTTTTCAACTTGCCTCTCTTAGGATGGACCCATTGCTTTATAAAGAGGGATAAGGCCTATCAGGGCCCTAGTATTCTCAGCCATGTTGCACCCAAGGCAGAGCCTCCACTTCCTGAGTGGGACCTAGGTGGCAGAGAGGAGCCCCACCTCTTGACTACATTCACTCAGGACTCATTGTCTGCAACAGACAGCTGGGGGTTGAATGAGGAATGCTGCCATCCTGCCTCTCTTGGGGAGATAGTTCTCTTAGTAGAGGCAGTGGGGAGAGGAGCCTTGTGTTCTTGGTATACCAGTTTGAAGTAGAGTGGCCATCTTGTTGAACTAGGAGTGAGGAAGAATGGAACCCTTCCTGCTCCAAACACCAAAGACTCCTATTATTCTAAGATTTTTTTTTTCCAGTGCTATGGATTAAACTGAGGGTCTTGTGCACAGTAGGCAAGTGTTGTACCACTGAGCTGCATCCCCAGCCCATACTCTATATTCTTAATGAGTACTAATAGATTTTAATTAATAAACATGTCTTCATGTGCTCTATGTCCCCAATAGCATTTCCCAAGACTTTTAGGTTGTTATCTTTTTATAATTTTTTACAAGTTTGCTTTAAGAGTGTGTCTACAAAGCCTTACCACTGTCATGCTGGAAGTAGAAATCTAGACTTAAATTTTTATGTTCATAGTATCATTTTCACACCTAAAAAAATTAGTTGTATTTCTTTGGTACCATTTAACACGCAGTTCATAACTTCTCCAGATTGTACATATTGCTTAATTTTAATAAGATTAATCAGAGTAATTGGCATTGATTAGTGTTCTAATGGTAAATAACATTGGAGTTCTTTAACATGCCATCCAGGGATTTTTTTACCCAAAGGCTAGAATCACAAATGAGGTTGATTTTACTCCTGTGAAACTGTTTGGTTTAAACCTTTAACTCTGAGAGAATATCAAAGGTGAATAGAATGTCACTCTGAAAATTGTCTCTTTTTAAAAATATTTTTGTGTATTATAATTATATGTAATGGTGGGATTTAGTGTTACATGTTCATATGTGTGCACAGAAAAACAATATTATTTGCTCAGTTTTATGTTCCAGAACCTCCTTCATTTCTCTTTTAACAGTGGTTTAATACTAAAGTTCATATGTTAAACATCTATATTCACATCTCAATGGAAGTTGGCCAGGCATGGTGGCATGTACCTGTAGCCTCAGCTACTTATGAGGCTGAGGCAAGAGGATCATTTGAGCCTAGGAGTTCAAGACCAGCCTGGGCAACATGGTGAGATCCTGTCTTAAAAATAAATAAGCCAGGTGTAGTGGTGTATCCCTGTAATCCCAACCACTTGAGAGACTGAAGCAGGAGAGTCCCTTGAAGCCAGCCTCAGCAGCTTAGTGAGGCCCTGTTTCAAATAATAAAGAGGGCTGGGGAAGTGGCTTAATGGTAAAGCACCACTGGATCTATAATTCCCAGTACCAATAAATAAGAGACTGTTTTTACCTCAAAGACTGTTCAATATTGGTAGAAATATCAACTTATTTTACCTTTCTGATAGATAATTTAGGAGCAAAAATTGTAAAGAGTCTTTTAATTTTTTTAAATTAAAAAAAAATATTTTTGTGGTACTGGGGATTGAACCCAGGGGCACTTAATTACTTGAGCCACATCCCCAGCCTTCTTTTTAAAAAAAATTTAAGGATAAATTCTAAGTTATTTAGGGTCTTGCTAAATTGCTGAGGCTGACTTTGAACTCACTATTCTAATGCCTCAGCCTTCCAAGATGCTGGAATTAGAGGTATGTATGCACCACCGTGCCTGGCCAAGAGTGTTTCCTTTTTTATCCACTGATTTTCATTCTAAAATAATGGGAACAACTTATCTATTAATTTTGATTTTACATATCAGAAAAATAGTTGAAGAATTCAATGGAATTCAGATATGTTCAAGGGTAAAAAAAAAAAGTTTAATATAATCCAATTTAGCAAAACAATGTTCAGCTACCTCTATGTATTTAAAGAAAAACTAGAAGAAAAAGAACCAAAATGTGAATGTTTAGTTTTGTAGTTGTATAGTATTATAAACTATTTCATATTTTTTTCTATGTATGTATATGATGAATTCTGTAACAAAAAAAATTAATAAGGAAAACAAACAACAAATAGTATTTTGGTATTTTCAGTTATCTGTATGAAAAAAAGTCTCAAACCTGAGCAAATACTGCTTCATTTATCAGGAATACTAATAATTTTTTTTTTCCAGTGTTGCCTCAGAGCCAAAAAAACTTTATGAAATGCCAAAATGTTCCAAATCGGAAAAAATAGAGGATGCTTTGTTATGGGAATGCCCAGTGGTAAGATTTGTTTTTAGAGCATTTGTTTCTACAGTATTTTTAGCCTAGAAGAACTGGTTATTGTTAATATATTCCATTAAGGATTAAAAATTAAATATCACAGTGATTCCAGAATTATTAGCACAATGAAGAGGAGAATGTATCTTTTTATTATCATTTTCTCATAAATGTTTTTATCTTTAAAAAATCATTAATATTATGAATATTTTAAAATAGGTGTAGTTTTTAAATATTGAAAATAGGAAAAGTTAGAAACATTAAAAGTTTCATAACAATCTAAACTACTTTATTACTGTTCTTGGTGGATCATTCTACTTACTGAAACAGAACAATAAAAAAGTATGGAGAGCCTCTTTTATGATATACAGAATTTTATTGGTTCTTTTTAGTTATACATGATAATAGAATTCATTTTGACATAATTATAAAAACATGGAATATAATTTGTTCTAATCCAATCCCCAGTACTTTCCCTTTTCCTCACCCCCTTTTCCCTTCCCTCTACTCTGCTAATCTTTCTTCTATTTACTTACAGGTTTTTTGGTTGTTGTTTTTAATTAGTGTCTTGTGGATGTACATAATGGTGAGATTCATTGTGGTATATTCCTACATGTACACAAGAATGTTAGATCAGATTCATTCCACTGTCTTTTCCTAACCCATCTCTTTTCCCTTCCCTTTATTCCCCTTTGTCTTACTCCACTGATCTTTCTTCTGTTTTTTTTTTTTTTTTTTAAATCCCCCCTACCTTGACTTTTCGGGCCTGCATTATTTCTCTTGGCGTGATGGTCTCCAGTTCCATCCTTTTACTGGAAAATGCCATAAGTTGTTATTCTTTATGGCTTAATAATAATCCATTGTGTATATATACCACATTTTCTTTATTTGTTCAACTATTGAAGGGCACTTAGGTTGGCTCCATATCTTAGCTATTGTGAATTGTGCCGCTATAAACATTCATATGCCTGCACCACTGTAGTATACTGTTATACCGAGGAGTGCGATAGCCGGGTCATATGGTGATTCCCTTCCTAGTTTTTTGAGGAATCTATAGTGCTTTCTGGAGTGGTTGCACCAATTTGCAGTTCCACCAACAACTTAGGAGTGTACCTTTTCCCCACATACTTGCCATCATAAAGCGGATTCTTACAAGTTTTCTCTGCAAATGTTGTTAGGAAAATAATAAGATAAAAATAACAAATGTGGCTGTATAAGCTCATTCATCAGACCAGCCTTGCCCTGGTACATATTTTTCAGAACACTGTTTTTATGGAATGTTAACAGGTATGTAGGTACCAAAAGAGTTGGGAGGAATTGGGCTGTGGAAAAATAAGTCTGGAACATTCTGAATTCAAAAAGTTTACTTACATAATTACTTCTCAGAGACTTTATAATAACTTTACTTACATAATTTTACATAAGTTTACTTACATAATTACTTCTCAGAGACTTTGTAATTCAAATAGTACTAATGTACACAATGACTATAAATCATTTTCCTAAATTTTTTTGGTTGTAAAACTTCCTTTTTTGGAGGAATATTTCTAAATGTAAGTTTTCCATGGCATCATTTTTTAATATTCTAAGTAATGCCTTTGGAATACTACAACCACTTAATCAGATCTTTAAATCAGTTTTCTGGAGCTGCTTTCTTTTTCCCTATATATTTATCTTCTGTTCATAGAAGGCTCCTTTCAAAATATCTTTTTTTCCCCTCATCTTCTCATTGAAAGCTATAAATAATTTTGTGCCCAACATACTTTATATACAACCAGAGATATGAAAAATTGTGCTGTATATGTGTAATAAGAATTGTAATGCATTCCACTGTCATTTATTTTTAAAAAAAAATAAAAAATAATTTTGTGCCTCCAGCAGTTTAAGCATCTTAATCCATTTTCATTTTGGTATGGTAGAGAGATGACAGATTTCTTACTTGAGAAAGTTTTGTAAAAACACCAAAAATTTATAGAGAAATCTTGGCAAAAATAAAATTTCTAGTAACTTATTTTCTATTCTCCCTTTAACATTTAAATATTTTGTTCTCATTTGCAGTGAAATAATATTTTCCATGAAGAAAGAGTAAGAAGCATATTGTATTAACATTAACATACTAATGTGAAACTACTTTTCAATTATTACCTTTCTTTTTTGAGACAATGTGTGAAATCCAACTTTTGGTTTAAGAAAATAATTTAAACCTATTATATATGCTGCATCAAATGTTTTTTTAATAGGCAAAGTATAAGTAGTATGTTTTTAAAAACTGAAATCCCCATGAAGTGATACTTACTAAGATATTGTAGAAAAAATGCTCTTATATCATTGTCTATGACCTGAGGATGTAAGATTTCCAGTTAATAAAGTAAAAGCAAAACACAAAGAAGCGATCATTTTTCTTTCTGTAACATTTGAAAGGGCAGACACTTCTTTTGGGGCATATGTAAAATAACCATGACCTCATTTTTTCCTACTCTTTGTCCTAAGAAAATACTAAATTAATTTCAATTTTCTATTCTTAACTTTCTTCTTACCAACTACATTATAGTTCACAATTCATAGTAGACTCCTTTGCTCTTTTTTTTTTTTTTCTCCCTTCCTACATTAGACTTCCACCTTGAGGTAGCTCCTTTGTAACAAAAGTACCCAAACAGCTATCTACCTTTTCTGGGTTATTCATTGATGACAGGTTGTTTTTAAAAACAGGTTCATCTTTTATTCTTCTTTGGCTACCTTGATTCTGGATTCTAAGTTCTCATTTGAAGTTAGAATAGAACAGCAGTAAACTGTATGATAATTTGCATTTTGTCGCATTCACTTCCATCTAAAGGAAAACAAGTTCTGTACTAAAAAAAAAAAGGCGGGGGGACAATAGGAACAACTCTTCTACCATATGATGTTTAATAGCTCTGCAGTTATACATGATTTTAAGAGCTGCTATTATCATTATCACAGCAGCAACAGCAGCATTAATACTCCTACTGTTATTGTTGGCTACTATCTGTTGAATACGTAGTAAATAAATTACTTGAAGCACTGTTTAAATGTCTTATGTGAATAAATCCACTTAATAAGTTAATGATGAAAGTAATTTCCCACAATCTTACTTTTCCTTACCTTAATTATCTTTCTCTGCATTTAATATTTCTTCTCTGGTTTACTTTTTCAACTGTCTTTAAGTATTTAGTTATTTTCTTTGGACATTGATTACTGCAAATTGTTCATGGCTAAGCAGTTTCACTTTTACACCTCATTTATTTTTTTAGGGGGAGGTACTTCCCGATCCATCAGATTATAAATCTTCACTCATAGCACTGACTGCTCACAATTGGCTACTTCGTATATCAGCAACTACAGGAAAAATCCTGGAGAAGATCTATCTTGCTTCCTATTGCAAATTCAGGTATTAACTCTTGAGTTTATTACTTAAGATTTTGTTATAAAAATTTGAGAATGTACCCCAGGAAATTTTTAAAGCTGCCTCCCCCACTTTTTCAGTATTTACCGTGATCTTAGTTCTATAAACTTAATTTTTTTCTTCCCTTGTGACCTTTGAAGAGCTGAGGATAGAAACCCTCTATCATTTATCTTTGGTTCCCTAATAAGTAAGTAACTTATACATATCAGTTGACAGATAAACTTTTTTTTTAATAATGTGTCACTCCTCTACAAGTAGTATTTTCTATGTAAAGTGTACTTTATGGAGGTTTTCCTGAAGGCTGATCTGTTTTCAGTTAAATTATTTGCCTAGTACAATCTGAGAATTATTATTTTAACAGTTTTGTAAATTAGATGTAAATTTTTAGAGTGTTTGTGTGTGATTTGTGAAAATACTATTTTTGATACATTTTGTAACTCCTGGGTTTTGTTGTTGTTGGTGGTGGTGGTGGTGGTACCACTGGTGATTAAACCCAGAGGTGCTTTACTATTGAGATACCTATCCATCCCTTTTTATTTTTTATCTTGGGACAGATTCTTACTAAGTTGCTTAGAGCCTTGCTAAATTGCTGAGGCTTGCCTTGAACTTGGAATTCTGCCTCAGCCTCCCAATTTGCTGGGATTACAGGCATATGCAACTGCAGCTGGCTGATTTGTTTGTTTTTAAAAAGATTAATTTGCTTTTATAAATTAGGTAACTAAAAATTTGCTTACTTCTACCTATAATGTTTTGTATAAGGAAACTGACCTACATCATTAAATCTCCACTTCTTAAAAGGTACTTGAGCTGGGACACACCTCAAGAAGTCATTGCAGTCAAGTCTGCTCAGAACAAAAGCTCAGCAGTGGCCCGACAGGTACGCATCAGTAAACAGTCAATAAACCAAGAACTTCTTCCTTAGGAATTTGTCTGAAAAACTGTTATGAAAGAACTAATGATCTTTGATTTCTGAAGCTTGCTATTAAAGTTAGTAGGTAAGTGTTTTTTTTCTAAAGCATGTGATTAATATTTTTCTCTCCTTTTAAAGAATTACCTAAAGTGTAGAAATTTATTTCAAGAATCTTATTTTGGTTCTGTTGGTGACTTAATAGGGAAATGCTATAACAAACATTTAATTGAGCACTTTCTCTTAAATAGACATAGATTCTGCTTTTAGAAGTTTGCTGCTGCTTTATCTCCCAGGGATCTAGGGAGGAAAAAATTATTTTTGTTTCCTCTTGGCAGAGGTTGTGTTCTTTCTCATTTTCTGTGTTTATTTTTATTTTGTGTGTGTGTGGTTCTGGAGACTGAACCCTAGACATTGAGCTTGCTAGGCAAGTGCTGTACCTCTGAACTTTACCTCCAGATCCCCCTTTTAAAAGAAATTTATTTTGAGGCAGGGTCTTGTCAAGTTGCCCAGGCTGGCCTTGAATTTTTGAATTTTCTAAGGTGGAGGAGGAGAATCAAGAGGAGGCCTCCTTAGTAACTAGGATTATAGGTGAATACCACTACCCCCAGCTCAAATTTTTTTTTTTTTTTTCATATAGATGTTGAACACAGGGACACTTAATCATTGAGCTACATCCCCAACCCTTCCTTATGTTTTATCTTGAAACAGGGTCTTGCTACGTTGCTTAGAGCCTTGCTAAGTTTCTGAGGCTGCCTTTGAACTTGCAATTTTCCTGTCTCAGCTTCCCGAGCCACTGAGATTACAGGCACGTACCACTACACCCAGCCCAGCTCAAGTTTCTAATGTGTCTTTTTAAGAATTTAATTCCTCAAGAGCAAGTACTATGTATTAAGGTTTTTCATTTACCACTGATAATGCCAATTAATGTCTTGTCAGTATTTTTGCATTTCTAGACTTTATCCAGCCAAGAACTCGTAGCTCAAAAGCTCAAAATCAGGATATATAAACTATGCCTTTCCTTTGGTTTTTAGAAACTTGGAAGGAATCTATTTATGTCTTAAAAAATCATAGTTTAAAAGAATGTATTCTTTTTGAAAGGAGGATCTTTAGAGCTTTTAAACATTGCAGTCTTTTTTGTTTTGTTTTCTAACCTGTAGTTATGGCAGTTTTGATTGGTGGTCTTTGTGCTCCATTACTTAGGGTTCTGTTGAAGTAGAGTCAGGCTGTGATGGGGCAGACACGTTTGCCTGTCACAAAAAACAAGAAATTCCCTTCAAGCCAGTACTGGGGAAGTACAACATTATTTTATATTTCATAATAGAAAGAAATTGACTGGAACCTATTCCTCGAAGTAAAGGGAGTGTTCCTCTTCAAGCTCAAGCTTTTATTTATTGTTGGCATATATTTTTTTTTTTTTTCATTTCATACAGGCATGTCAGTGCAACACTATTTTCAGGGATCTAACCATAATAACTATATGAGATTTGATTAGGCTTTTTCGGGGGAAGGTGGGGAACTACTGGGAATCAGACTTGGACCTCATACATGCTAGGGAAGCACTCTACCATTGAGATACCTTCCCAATTCTACTTGATTAGGCTGTTTATTACTAGAACTTCAGTATACAGGATAAATACACAGTATCTTGTTGCTACAGAATGCCACCTGTTCTTTTTACGTTTGTAAGTTTTTGTGTGTGTCTGTGTGCACGTGTGTATCTGAAGAGCCAAAGGTTTAGCTGACATATTTTAAATATGTTTGCCTTCCTCTTCAGTAACTTTTCAGTCTAGATAAATGGATGTTTCAATTCGGAAAACCTCTGTATAATGACATGGATGTTTTCAGAAACAAAGCATTTCTGAAGTACTTTGGAGAGCTGCCTGTAATTTTAGTCTTTTTTTCTAGGCAGGCATTCAGCAACCCATTTTGTTGTACCTTGCAGTGTTCCAAGTTCTACCTTTTTCTCTTATAGGCATTCTAGAGATCAACAAAAGGGTAAGAACTCACTTCTTATTTAATTATAATATTAATTTTTTGACAATAAGATATAATGTCATTTAATTATTTATTAGATGATTTATTTAGTAATGTTCCCCTACTATAAAATGTTCACTGACCTGTTTTCTTTCATATCAAAACATATGAGAACATTTGATTTCAAAAGACAGCCTGATTATCCCTTTATCTTTCTGCATGGTTTTATGCCTCTCAAGTAGGTAGTGAGTTATTAATGAACTACTATTTTATAAAATTATGAAATGAGTAAGGTATGTTTTTCAAAGAAATTTCTTCCAAACTTTGTTAAAATGATCGTTAAGCTGCCAAAAAAAAAAAAAAAAAGTATTATTTTAATCGAAAGATGTAGGTCCAAAGTGTGATTGATGGTATGCAAATAAGCTTTATAATCACATGTAAATTTTTTAATTCAATCAGTTTGGGGTTCTGTTGTTTTTTCTTCATTTGTGAAGTTGTTACATGGGAGGAAAAAAGGAACGAGTTATAATTGAGTAATTATAATTGAGTAAAAGAATCAGGATATAGTTCAGTGGTAGAACACATGCCTAAAATATGCAAGGTCTTGGATTAAGTTCCTAACACCAAAAATTTTTTAAATGTTAAAAAACCCACAGAATCAAGTTTTCTGCCTTCCTCTGGGTGAATAATTATTTACTGACCTCTTATACTAGACTTTAAGTATCTAAAATCATGAGGACAAGGTCTGGAGGGTCTACTAATAATCACTAGTAAACAAGATAAATGTATTTAAACATTTTATAAAAATAATACTGTAAAATGCATAAACTAAAAGCATCAGTTACTAATTATTGTTTACTTCGTGATAAGTGCTTTTGAGTATTTTATAACATAGTAACATATAATGTGTTTAATTCAGAAATTAAGTAATTATACAGATCCTAAAAGTGGAAGAGCTATGTGGAACGTTTTTACAAATAGACTTTTTCCAAATAGTGTAGATCACAGTGTAAGTCTTAGCAAATGCTGAATAATTGATAAATTCCCATATATCCTGTCAGACCATATGGAATGAAGCTTGAAGTCAACAGTAAGAAAATATAGAAATCATGTAAACACATGAGATTGAATAATACTCTTAAATGAAGAATGGATCATAGAAGAAATGAGAGAAGAAATTAAAAACTTTTTAGAAATAAATGAACAAAGATAGTAGATCCCAAATAAATAAGCTTAGGCTCCATTTCAAAGCCTTAGAAAAGAAAGAAAATAATTCCAAAGTCAGTAAAAGACAGGAAATAATTAAGATGAGAGTCAAAATATACAGGATCAGTGCAACAAAGAGTTGGTTCTTTGAAAAGATAAATAAGATTAATAAACCCCTAGCCAAACTAACCAAGAAAAAGAGAGAATACCCAAATCAACAAAAAGAGATATCACCACAGACCCTTCTGAAATCCAGAGGATTATCAGAACTTATTTTGCAAATTTATACTCTAATAAACTAGAAAATCTAGAAGATATTGACAGATTTCTAGATATATTTGAACTGCCCAAATTGAACCAGGAAGATACAGAAAACCTAAACTAAGACCATTATTAAGTAATGAAATTGAAAACAGTAGTTAAAAGCCTTCCAACAAAGAAAATCCAAGGACCAGATGGATTCTGAGCTGAGTTCTACCAAACCTTGAAGAACTAACACCAGTCTTAAATTATTCCATGAAATTGAAAGGAAGGGAACATTCCCAAATATATTTTATGAAGCCAGTACAACTCTGATACCGAAACCAGACAAAGATACATCAAAAAAGAAATCTACAGACTAATATCCCTGCTGAACATTGATGCAAAATCCTCAATAAAATATTAGTAAATGTATTCAAAAACATATCAAAAAGATGATATGCCGTGATTTTCATTCCATGGATGCAAGGTTGATTCAGTGTATGCAAATCAATAAATGTAATTCACCACTTAAACAGAATTAAGAACAAAAATCACATGATCATCTTGATAGATGCAAAATGACCTTTGATAAAATTGAATACCCTTTTATATTAAAAGCTTAAGAAGCCAGGGATAGAAGGAACTTACCTCAACATGATAAAGGCTATTTATGACAAACACGGGCCAACATCATACTAAATGGAGAAAAACTAAAAGCATTTCCTCTAAAATCAGGAACAGGACAAAGATGCCCACTCTCATCATTTCTGTTCAATATAGTTCTTAAAACACTAGTCAGCAATCAGGCAAAAGAAGGAAATTAAAGGGACACAAATAGGAAAAGAAGAAGTCAGACTGTTTGCTGATGACATGATCCTATATTTAGAAGACACCCCCCCCCCCCCCGCATCAAAAAAAGAAAAACTCTAACAGAAGACTTTTAGAGCTTATAATGAATTTAGCAAAGTAGCAGGATACAAGATTAACTTCGGAGTAAATCAATAGCATTCCTGTATTCTAACAGTAATTCAGCTGAGGAAGAAATCAGTAAAACCATCCCATTCACAATAATGTCAAACATACAAAAAAAAAAAAAAAAAAAACCTTGGGAATTAATCTAAGCAAGAAGATAAAAGATCTCTACAATCAAAATTATAGAACACTGAAGAAAGACATTGAAAATCCATTTTAGAAAATGGAAAGACCTCCTATGATCTTGGATAGGAAGAATTAATATTGTCAAAATGACAGTACTGCCAAAAGTAATATACCGATTCAGTGCAATTCCTATCAAAATACCATTGACATTCTCCACAGAATTAGAAAAAGCAATCCTTAAATATGTTTGGAAGAATAGGAGACCCAGAATATCCAAGTGCTACTGAGCAAGAAAAATGATGCAAGACGTATCACAATAACTGATCTGAAATCCTCAATAAACATGACAGTAAGGAGGAGGAGAGGACTGTGTATCATAAAGATATAAACTGTAGTAACAAAAACATCATGGTATTGACATCAAAATAGACTTGAAGACTGATGGAATAGAATAGAAGACACAGAGACAAACCCCATATATTTAGAGCCATCTGATACTTGACAAAGGTCTCAAAAATGTGTCTTGGAGAAAAGACAATCTTTTTAACAGGTGGTGCTGGGAAAACTGGACAGCTATATGTATAAAAATGAAATTGGATCCCTATCTCTCACCCTGCACAAAAAGTTAAAAAGGATTAAGAGTTAGACCAGAAACCTTGCAGCTGCTGGAAGAAAACAGAGTCAACACTCCATCATATTGACTTTCCTAAAAGAACACCAAAGCTCAAGAAATAAAAGAAAGAATCAATAAGTGGAATGCCATCATATTAAAAAACTTCTGTACAGCAAAGGAAACAATCACAAGTGTGAAGAGAAAGTCTACAGAATGGGAGAAAATCTTTGACAAAAACTCCTCTGATAAGGTATTAAGATCCAGGATAGGGCTGGGATTGTGGCTAAGTGGTAGAGCACTCACCTGGCATATGCGAGGCCTGGGTTCGATTCTCAGCACCACATAAAAATAAATAAATAAAATAAAAGATATTTAAAAAAAAAAAAAAAGATCCAGGATATACAAAGAACTCAAAAAACTTAAAACACCAAAAAATAAAAAAATAAAAATAAAAACCCAACCAAAAATGGGCAAATTCGTAATGTTTCCTGTGTTTGTATATGAATACAAAACCGGTATAACTCCATATGATGTACAACCACAAGAATGGGAAGTTATACTCCATGTGTGTATAATATGTCAAAATACACTCTACTGTCATGTATATCTAAAAAGAAAAAATAAAAATTTAAAAATAAATAAATGGGCAAGTGAACTAAACAGAAATTTTACAAAAGAAGAAACAATAACTAACAAATATATGAAAAGATGTTTAACATTTTTAGCAATCAGGGAAATGCAGATCAAATTACACTAATATTTCATCTTACTCTTATCAGAATGACAATTATCAGGAACACAAACAATAATAAATGCTGTCAAGGATGTGGGGGAAAGGTCTACTCATACATTGTTGGTGGCACTATGGAAAGCAGTATGGAGATTCCTCAAAAAACTAGGAATAGAACTACAATATAATCCAGCTAACCCACTACTTGCATTTATCCAAAAGAACTAAAATCAGCATGCTATAACAATACAGCCACCTCAGTGTTTATAGCAGCACAATTCACAGTCAAATTGTGAAATCAACCCAGATAACTGTCAGTAGGTGAATGGATTAAGAAAATGTGGTGTGTTTATATAGTGGGGTTTTACTTAGCCATGAAAAAGAATGAAGTTTTGGCATTTGCTGGTAAATGAATGGAAATGGAAAGTGAAATAAGCCAGTCTCAGAAAACTAAGGGTCAAATATTTTCCCTCATATGTGGAAGCTAAAGCACAATGACAGTAAGGAGGAGGAGAGGACCGTGTATCATAAAGATATAGGGAAGACTAGTGGAGTAGAAAGGGAGGAAGGACAAGAAAGGGGAGGAAATGTAGCAACTTAGTGAAAAGCTTTCTAAAAATAAAAAAGGGCTAGAGATGTAACTCAGTGGCAAAGTATCCCTGGGTTGAATCCATAATACTGAGGGAAAAAAAGAAAGAAAGAAAAAAAAAAAAAACTACTTAAGGGCCAGGATCCTGTGTAGTCCTATATATTTAAGCTGTTTGTTAAGATTGTAAATCTTCACTAAGCTTTCTTCAATAGAAATAGACAGGTTTTCATTTTATATCTTGTTGCTCTTTCATTGCTATGAATATTTGCTTATATTGGCTTTTGTTAATTATTTATTAAAATAAGTATAGAATCAAGTTGTTTGCTGTAGCTATATGGAGACTCATGACAGAATCATGCATAGAACTTTGGGGAACAGTCAGTCAAAGCTTTATTCAAGGTTAGGTAGGCTAGATGTCTCTATAGGTGTTTGGTTTTTAATATGTTTGACTTTTGTATGAATAAAAAAATCAAACAATATTAGAAATTAAAGAATAAGATAATAATAATAAACTGGAGGTGGCTGTTTCTCTTATAATTACTTTCCCAAGCTTTTCACCTCTTAATAACTAATAATTTACCTCTTTGTAAAAAACATTGCAGCATAAAGAATTGAGTCCCTGGCAGGATATGCATGGTAAATTCAATATTCATTAGAATTACCTGACCTTACTGTATGCCAATGTCCATAAGGAACAGGATTTGATTAATAGGTATTGACAAAGCTATGAAGCTAAAAATTTTGGTGCATCATTTGGACAGGTATGTGCTCTAGTCTGAGAATCAAATAGCTTACTGTTCACCCCTAATAACACCCTAGCCTAAAGTTACTGAATTGTAATTAAATTTTTAAATTTTATTTTATTTATTTATTTATTTGGGGGCACTTAACCACTGAGCCATATCCCTAGCCCTTTTTGTATTTTATTTAGAAACAGGGTCTCTGAGTTGCTTAGAGCTTCGCTAAGTTTCTGAAGCTGGCTTTGAACTTGAGATTCTCCTGCCTCAGCTTCCTGAGCCACTGAGATTACAGGCATGTGCCACCATGCCTGGCTAAATTGTAATTAATTTTTAATGCTAGGCAGCAAGGTTGTAATGATGACCTGAGTATTAAGCAAGAGGATGAACCATGGTGAACACTCAGAAGATTGGCCTTCTGGTCTTTTCTCAGGTGATATCTGCCTTTCCCCTCAGATTTTCGGGAACGTAACAGATGCTACTCTGTCTCATGGAATACTGATTGTGATGTACAGCTCAGGACTGGTCAGACTCTATAGCTTCCAAGCCATCACTGAACAGGTAGAGAAAACTGAAATTTTCTATATTTTACTATCATGAGGTTTGTACTGCAATATGATTTTTTTTTAAATTAGATGCTTTTAAAATAAAGCACTTCTTATTTTCAACTATATGAAATATAGAATGGAAATGTAGAAAGACAAAGTAATCTATAAAAGTGGGGTGGGAAGATAAATAGAAAGGCTCTTGAATAAAGACATTTTCTCTGTCATATACATGTGAATTTTTTTTTCTCTCCAGACAGCAAATAAATAGGTGCTAAAGCCACCATTTTTTGTTTTGTTTTGTTTTTAGTTCATGCAACAGAAACTTGACTTAGGGTGTGCATGCAGATGGGGTGGGACTACTGGAACTGTAGGAGAGGCTCCTTTTGGCATTCCTTGTAATATTAAAATCACAGGTATGGCTGCTGTATAGTATTTTTTATCTTAATAAGTAGGCATATAAATAATTATTCACTGTAAACATCCAAATGTTTTTAATTATAAACTGATTTTATTTGTATACAGTACATTTCCTTGCTAAGTGAATAAGTATCAGCAAAATTCTGTCATTTACTCATTGAACTAAAAGCCTGGGTATGCTGAACCTTGCTTGGCCTGAGACTTTGAAGTCACTTTACATTTCAATCTTTGATTTCCTTATCTGAAAGATGATTAGTTGCAGCAAACTTTGTAAAGTACTAAATTATAAGTTTCCTTATAATTTAGTACTTTTCATTTTGTGACATTTATCCATATCTAAGAAAGATGTTTTCCAGGGAAAATATTACTACCCCTCTGAACATAGATGGAACCTAACCTAAATACAGAAAAGAACTTCCCAATATACTTACAGATTGACAAAGCTCAAAAACAAAATTGTACATAATTCTATATAGTAATAATGTTCTTTATTTAACTGTTTAAGTATAACTATTTTTTTAAAAAAATAAATAAACTGTTATAGAAACTCAGCAGTATATGTTAAAAGAAAAACTTTGTGTGACATGCATCTCAGGAATCCAAGAATGGTTTAATGATTGCAAAATGATATAAAAATCACAGGTTAAAAGAGAAAATACACTTTGTTATACCAATATCTTTATTCTTAATTCATTGAGATCCATTCCTTATCACATTGAGTTATATACCTTCTATTTCTAACCAGTAAACATTATATTTTTAAGTGAAACTCCAAAGGTTTTCTAATATAGGCAGAATAAGACAGGATATTTTTCTATTATTATTTACCATTGTATCAATGGATCAAGTAACAAATAAAAGATAGAATTGTGAAAAAGGAAAAAAATATGTTTTTTTTGTAGTAAATGATAAGTTATAAAAATATTGAGAGTTCAACATAGCCAATTAAGTTATCCATGAAGTTCAAAATAAATATTTTAAAAATGACTCAATTCTTAAATTCCTTTGACAAGGTGAATTAGGCAACTTGATGAAAATTCAGCAGTACTTTGTAACCTCAGCAGTACCGCCTATATTCAATACAAATACACTAACAGGAATCTATTAAGAGTTTTAAAACTACAGGCTCCAGTGATAACTAAAATGGGTTATCTTGAAAAGAATTTCCCAAAATGGTATCATTATTCTTGTTTATGTGCAGAGTATAAGTGAGTATCAAAACAAAGAACAAGATGGTAAAGACAAAACACATAGCACCTGAATGATTGTGCTGTAGCTTTGGTCTCTGTTTTTTGAAGGAAGACTGGATTAGAGTCATAATTGTAAATCTGCTACTATTAAAATAGTGAAATTCCTCTGCTAACTGTTAATATGATAGTGAGCCTGTTAACCTCTCTGGGCTTACATTTCTCAACTTTAAAATAGTAATTCTTGAAAACATGAAATCACTTGTCATTGTAGAATGATATAATTCACTGATTTTTACCCATTTGGCAAAGAAGAAGTAGTATGAAGCTAACTGGAAGCTTTGAATGTTTGTTTCATATGGTACAGACTGTAATCCTTGTTTCCCCAAATTTGTTTTTCAGTGTTTTTAAGATCTATCCAATACAATGTTTGTTTTAATTTTAAGTAACTTCTTAGTGCAAAAACAATTCATTATTACTACAGAACACTTAGGAAATAAAATAAGCAAAAGAGAAAATTTAGAATCTTTTTCTCCTCAAAGTTTCCCTGTGCCCCTCCTATCCAGTTCTCTCCTCATCACAGCTCTAAACAATGATTTGCTTTCTTTTGATTTGTTAAATTTATATTTTCTAGAGTTTTGTATAAATGAAATAATATGAGGTACTCTTTTATTTTCCCATTGTCTTTCATTCAGGATATTATTTTTGAGCTTCATCTTATTGCATGTATCTGTAGCTAAACACACTTTTTAAATGTTAATATGAGTAGTAAATAGATTATCTTGTGAAAATAATAAAGTCTCACTCTTTACCTGAAAATATATACTAAACAGATGAAAGATTTAAAAGTTCTAGAAGAAAAGTTGGAGAGTCTTTATCTCAGAATGGTGAATACCTTTCTAAGTAATGACACAAAACCATAAAAGAGATTGATAAATTGATTATAAAATTAAAGTTGTACATTGCAAAAAAACAAAAACATAAACAACATCAGTTAACTGAGAAATCAAGTAACCCAATGGTATGGGGAGGGGTAATTCCTCAGTATATAAAAAGGTCTGTAGATCAGTAAGAACAAGAATGACAACAGTTTAAAAATGAGCAAGGAGGGGACTGGGGTTATGGCTCAGCAGTAGAGCACTCACCTAGCATGTGTGAGGCACTGGGTTCGATCCTCAACACCACATAAAAATAAATAAATAAAATAAAGGTGTTATGTCCAACTACAACTAAAAAAATATTGTAAAAAATGAACAAGGAACATTGTTCAGTAGGAAATATAAATGACTTTCAGAGTAGTACAAAGCTCAAGGTCAGTGATAAGTGCATATTAAAATTATAAGATTCATCTTTTCAGATTCTCAGATATCAAAAAGAACTTTTTGGTATATTGTGGTTGGTGAAGTTTTAGAAAAAGCACTCTCATTTATGGTTGGGACCCTTTATGGAGGACAGTTTGTTACTTTGTCCTTTTTGTCAATATGACCTTCAAAACTTTTACCAAAAATTTAAATGTGGGGCTGGGGATGTGGCTCAAGTGGTAGCGCACTCTCCTGGCACGAGCTGGGTGCTGGGTTCGATCCTCAGCACCACATAAAAAAAAAAAATAAAATAAAGATGTTGTGTCCACCGAAAACTAAAAAATAAATATTAAAAAATTCTCTCCCTCCCTCTCCACCCCCCTCTCTCAAAAAAAAAAAATTAAATGTGTTTACTCCTTGAGCCTAGCAGTTCCCCTTCTAGGAATTTACCCTAGATATATTCACATGTGTAGAAAATGATAAATGTACAGTTATAACATTGTTTCTAATAGCAAAATATTAGAAACAATTTTATGTTGGTAAATGATAGTAATAATATTTCACTATATGACCATATCATTAATTTAATTGTTAAATTGTTTAAAAAGAAAGAATAATTCTTTTTGTATTGTCATAGAAAAATTTCCAGCATAGTAAGTGAATAAAATAGGTATAAAACCATGTATATTTATTTGTATATTTATACTCCTGTTAAAGGTACATATACAATCAGGATTTTAGATTTGCCTGAAATATCTGATACATAGTCATTATCTCTGGGGAGATATAGGTGAAGGAAGAACTTAGTTTTCATGAAATAGTTTCTGGTGTTTATAAAACACAGTATTTATATTACCTATGTCAAAAAGGAGTTCTTTGTGCATATCCCATAAGGTATTAAAGAACTTTTATATGCCACTTAATGGATGAACTGCAATATATTTAATCAATTTGCTACTTTAGCATTTAGGTTGTTTCTAATTTTCTGTGTTTATAAATAGTACAAGAATAACATAACTATATACTACAACTATTAATGAGCCTTGCCTGAATCAGTGTCATTGTAAGTTACAGAAAGTCGGTTTTAAAAATTACATTATTTCTTCAACCTTTAGTAACCAGCATTTTTCTATAAGTAAAAACTTCAACTCATCAACTTAAGGATAAACTATAATTCCTTTAAAAAGGCAAGGTAAATATTTATTCCTTCCTTTTACTAATATTTCAAACAAGGAGTTGACTGATAATTACTTTCAGTGGTGACAAAATTATATAAATACAATAAGATTCATGAATTTTTACTTACTAAGTATTTATAGTTTTTATCATTATTCTTAATAATACTCAAATTGTCCTGAATTTGGCCAATAAGAGCTCTTTCTTTTTTTTTTTCTTTTTTTCCTTTTAGGTACTAGGGATTGAACCCAGGAACACTTTATCTCTGAGTTACATCCTAGCCCTTTTTACTTTTTATTTTGAGATAGGGCCTCCCTAAGTTGCCCAGGCTGGCCTTGAATTTGTGACTCTCCTCAGCCTCCTAAGAAGAGCCACCACACCCAGCTTTAAGAACATATCCCAGTAGTCTTGGAGAATTTCTTGTTTCTGGAATAATGATATGTCCCAGGCTTACTTTTTTACTCTATTTGTCCTAGATCTCACAAGGAGCCATTTTACTAGAGAATATCAATAGAGACTCTCAGTTTCCTAGGGTTGCTATGACACCACAAACTGAGTAACAAATAGAAATGTATTCTCTCTCAGTCCAGAGGCTAGAAATCCAAAATCAGGGTACTACCAGCCCTCTGCTGAAGGCTCTGGGAAAGAACCCTTTCTTGCCTCTTCTAGCTTCTTGTGGTTGCTCACAATCCTTGGTGTTCCTTGGCCTGTGGCAGCATAACTCCAATCTCTGCCTCTCTTCATGCAAGCTTCGTGTGTTCAGATCTCTCTCTTCTTATGAGAGCACCAGTCATTGAATTTAGGGGCTGACTTATCCTGTATGTCCTCATCTTTACTTGATTATATCTGCACAGACCCTATAACCAAATAAAGTCATATTCACAGGTACAAGGAGTCAAGACTTCAGCATTTATTTTGGGGGGACACAGTTCACCCGACAACAAAGACCAAGACCTAGTTGTATTTATACATATTTTTAGACCCTTTCAATAAACACCTGGGAAATACATTAGTTCATTTTTGTATTTCCTAATTTAATCATTCTTTTTTGTTTAATATATGTATTTCTTTTAACTCACACTGATTTTTTTTTTCCCCAGTGCTGAGGATCCAAGCCAGGGTCTTGCATATGCTAGGCATTCTTCTAACTCTGACCCTCATCCCCTGCCCCACAATGAACTTCTTGATTTTAAATAAAAATTTATCCTATAATATATGATTGTCACTTAAAATAGCAGTACCAATGTTACTATGAAAAACTAAATCATGGAATGTAGGTTAAGATTTCTCTGTAGTTCCTTTGTCCTTAGTATATATAGACCAATCAATGTACATACAGAGTAATGTGTGCAGTGGTAATTTGAAATCATTTTTCTGTGTGATTAGGGTACCAATTTAATTAAGTTCATTTGTTTCAGTTTATTTTCAATTTTTGAGTTTGCTTTTTTCCTTTAGATTTTATTCTTGAAGTTACGAAATATATATATATATATATATATATTTTTTTGAAAGGTCAAAACTATGTGAAAAGATATACTCTGAGAAATTTTGCTTCCAACCTTTGCCCTTCCATCCTTTTGTTATTTCCCTCTCTGTATCTCACATCTGTCCTCAAAAATAACCATTATTTTTAGTTTATGGTTTATTCTTCCATTGTTGTTTCTTTTTGCAAAATTAAGCGAATATATAGATATATATTTTAAATAGTGCCTTCTTATACCAAATATGACAGTACTGTTTTGTACCTTATATTTTTACTTAAAACATATCTATGTTTTAAATTTTTTAAGATGAACATTTTTTTGGTAATTATCTGTACATTAAAAGTATAGAAAATTCTGTCCTATTGGAGTCCTTTTTTAATAAACAAAACAACTATGTTAAAACTCTCCTTTTAAATATTGTTGGACCTTACACTGACTGACAGTATTCTAATTAACCATAATTGTTACTTTCTTTGTAATGACTGTCTTTCCACAGTCTAGCCAGAAGGAGTTTGTTTTGCTGGCTTTCCTATTCTTTTCACACTACCCGCTGCCATCCTTGTAATATCCTTGCTTTCTAACAGGATGGTTTGGATGCATCCAAAAATTTTCTCACCATAAGGAGTAAAACAGTTACTCTCTGGGAACTTTTAGGCCTTTTAGTTGAGAATAGTATTACAGGTCAAAATTTGAGCTCTTGGAAGATTAGCAGGTCCCATCAGAGTTATGCTGTTTCTGAGCCAAATTTAGCAACTGTTGAGAAAAAGTATTTCTTCTAAATATGTCTGTTTGCATTGTTTTTTTATTTTTAATTTCTGTTTTACATTCTCTATAACCTAATAAATTTTAATCCCAAATTAAAACTCTTAGAGTTTCCTGTTTATAATTCTTTTCTTCATCCATTATTGTTTGGTAACCACTAAATTATTACATGGTATTTATATTTCTTTCATAATTTACCAACTCTTGTCCTGTGACCATTTTTACATTGGGGTTGTTATATTTTTCTTATTACTTGAAAAAAACTCTATTAAAGATATCACCTTTTCCGTAAAGGTTGATACCTGCTTCTTCCTTTCTCCTCAGTATTGTCAGTTTGAAACACTTCTCATTGTTTTTATCCTATGAATAGCTGTAAGTAGTAAATAATCCTTATGAAGAAGCCTGAAAGAGTACACACTTCTGTATAAAATGTATGACTCTTACATGAATGGTCTTCCTAAGACAAGCCCCTATATAATAGTAGTGGCTTCACAAACCAAAAATTAAATTTTCAACTTAGAGGGATTGATGAAGAGTCAGTCATAGATTAGCCATCTGCCCAAAAAAACCATGTAGTGTTTCCCATAGGTTGCCTAAAAGCAGTTCTGATCCTCTAAAGCTGCAATACCTTCCACACTACTAAAATTGTAATCATAAAGGAAGACTAAAAAACACCAACAGAAATTTCTTTTGTGATATCAGTCTCCAGGAGAAACTGACTGGATATATCTGCACCAGGTTAAAGCTAACTTCTATGATGATAATACTAGCAGTAGTGGCTATCCTTAATAAAGCCTCCATTGTGGCAGGCCGTATCCTCAGTGGTTGCATTCGTTATGAGTAATGTCATCTCTACATTGCAAATCTTATGCAAGACAGATCTTGAAAAGTTACTGCATATACTCCTAGGATATGGAAGAGCTCTCCCTCATATTTAAAGGAATTATTAGAGCTAATTACCTGGTAGGATTGTTGTGGGAGTTAGAAATAGTAGCTAACTCAGAGTCTTACACATAGCAGAAGCTCAATAAATGGCAACTACTTTTATTAAGTACAGTTTATCCTTTTTTCTTTTTCTTAACATAATAAGCACCTTCATCTCTTATTTCTCTTAATTTCTGCTTACAGGCCACACATACCCCAAAAGCAGATGTCTATAAAGTTAATTCATAGACTGTTTGTTTCCTAACTTTTTCATTTCTTAGCAATAAACCTTCTTCCTGATTGCATTTTATTTCATTTGATAGAGTAATTTTTCATTAATGGAAACTCACAAATGATGCATGCAAAGAAATGTTAAATTCAATTAATAAATGGTCCAAGGCCACAGGAAGCAGGGATGCTGGTAAATTCCTTTTGTTCATCTCTACAGACTCACCACCACTGCTCTTTGAGGTGTCATCCCTGGAGAATGCTTTTCAGATTGGAGGCCATCCTTGGCACTACATCATCACACCCAATAAGAAGAAACAGAAAGGAGTTTTCCATATTTGTGCCCTAAAAGATAATTCATTGGTAATCATTAGTGATCGGACTTCTTAGTAGTAAATTTATATCAGAAATTCTTTATTCTCTACCTCCTAATAGCTCTACATTCCTAAGAATTACTTTGTTTTAATAATTTGTGGGAGTATAGAGAATATAGCAAATAACTTGTGTGTATTACCCAGAATCTAAAAATATAACATTTGGAAATTCTTAAGGTATCAAGAATCTTTTTTTCTTACCAGCGTCCTAGCAAGGGACCCAAAGCATCTCTCATGTTCCACAACGGGAAACACTGATGAAATATGTTCAGACTGCCTCTAAAATTGCTGTGGAATATATTATTGTTCTATTTCTATGTGATTTGTTGCTGTTTGCCTTCCTTGGCAGAATCAGATGGAATTCTGGAGATCACAGTATTGGCATTAAAACACTGAATTCTAAAGGATATTAAGTATGAATATATGGCAGAGTAGGAAGAAATGATATATGGCAAAACAATAGAAATTTCTACCTCTTGGATTCATTTTTCTTCATTTTCTTTTAAAACATGATTAGGCATTGATTTGCTATTTGATAAACATTTATCCAGAGCCTACAATGTGCCAGACATGACTGGGAATACATTTACTTCCCTCAGTTTGCCTGTACTCTCAAAAGAAAGTATATATGTGTGTGTATATATATATATATATATATATATATATATATATATATATATGAATGATGTGGTGTGATCAGTACAGTGATTGAGGTAAGTATAAAAGTCCACAAAAGATGGAGATTTCCATTTTTGTTTTACATTTCTGTTTAGTTTATTTATGGACCCTCTTGATATATCAGATGAGCTTGTTTTTTTTTTTTGAGGTAGGCTCAGCTTATTCTACCCTTGTCTCTTCCAGGACCTTGTACAGTCACTCTTGACACCAATGACTCACAGGTTACCTTTCACTATATTTAAAATAAGCACATTTGTGTTAGCGTTGTTCCCTTCGATTTTCTCATTTATTTATCACAATGGGCTTCTATTTGGCCCAGCCCAATGACATCCTCTTTTATAAAGCACCTTCTAGGGACCGTTTCCTGCCATGACAAATCTTCATTTGATTGTTTACCTCCTAGCCAGGATATCCTTCAGACACTGGGACCTGTCCCTTCTTTTTCATTTAACTTTTATATCCAGTGAAACCCTGCATAATTCACATTCTGGACATTTAGCACATCTTCTTCTTATATAAGAACAGATAATATATGTCTGATATGTGTGTGTGTGTGTGTGTGTATACATATACACACACATATATATACATGTATGTGTTTGTTTATATATTTGTGTGTATACATATATTAATGGTGGCCTTCAACATTTATGCCAAGCATCCCTCATCCCTATCACATACTCTCATACTGTAATACCAGTTTTATTAATCTTTGCTGGGCAGTTTTATTGCTGTGACATTACCTTTATGATTCATATGCATATTACCTTCCTTTCAGTCAGAAGAGTGGATAATCCCAAAACACATTAAGTAGCCAAAGAAGATTATAGAAAATGTTTCATAGCTTTCTTTATTACCCTGAGCTTTAAATCTAGCATTTGAGTAAATAATAAAAACTACAGGAACTGGTAATGAAGTTGCTAGTAGTATTTAACATAAAGAGAATTTTTTGCACATTCTATTTAGATATTATAATAAAGAGAATAGCCTTCTAAAGAAAGATATATATAGTATGTACAGTTTATATTAAACAATGGAGCTTCTGGAGCCAGTACCATCACGGATATATTAACCTTAACTCATGACAAACAAGATGTATAATTGCATTAGTTTTCTTATAAAATATAATAATAATACCATCATTCCCATTAGAAATAATTAGAATACTTGTAAAAATTAATGAAAGGCTGAAACTCATTTACTAATGTGATATATAAAATGTTTTAAATTCCAGAATTTGGGGAATTGTGGTATACAGAGTGCTTAACATCATAGCCCAAGCCTTAATATTTTCAGCCTCGTGCCTACATACTACTTAATTTTAGCAACTTCTCATATTTTTGTACATACATAGTCTGGATTAATTCTTCTGTACATTTGTTCTGTGCTGTCTCTTCTTTCACACTGTTTTCTACTTATCCTTTAAGGTCTAGTTTAAGTTTTTCCTCCTGAAATTCTGTTCATCTGGATTGGTTTCTTGATAATTTCCTGTTCAGATATCCTGTTTATGCTCAATCATTTCATTTTCTGTACTGCTTTATTATTTTCTATTTTTGTTTCTGTTTCTACCTTAGACTATAAATATCTTGATGTCTAATTCATATCAGGTACAAATGCCAACTGTAATATCTAAAATGTAGTAACCAGTCAATATATGCTATGGAATTTATGAACTCTAATATTTCAAAGCTTTTATGAGAATCCATTAGGTATGACATATCATTTTATTTTACATTTGAGAAATTAAATAACTTGAATAAAGCTGAAAAAGTTATATATCTATGTTAGTATTAGTTCCCAGTGCTCCTCTGTATAAGATAGAATATTTGCATACACATGTGATCATGTGTCATACAGGGTTTTTTCCAATTTAATGTATGAATATATTGTAATGAAATAAATCTCTTTTCCAGCCTTAATTGCTAAGCAGTATTAGATTATTTCCTCAGATATGAAAGAGTTGGTTTTTGTTTTTTGAGACAGGGTCTTTCTATATTGCTTAGGCTGTTCTCAATCTTATAAACTCAAATGATCCTTCCTCCTCAGCTGGAACTGTAGGCATATGCCACTATACCCGACTAGATTTGAGAATTTAACATTCATTTATCCAAGGAGATTGTGACCTGTGTCTGAGGCATTAGTGTGGTTGTGTTTATATGCATGTTACCCTGATTGACAGGTAGTTGGAGATGGGAAAGGAAGGAGGAAGTTGTATGGAACTGCATGACCATAATTAGGGCAGTTATATAGTGGAGAGTTCATGGACTTTGGCGTCAGATCCTTTATATAGCAAGTTCAAAAGTGGACAAATGATTTATCTCTTTGAGTATCAGTTCCTTTAGCCATAAAATAGAGTTAATGTTTGTCTGAGTGTTATTAAGATCAAATTAAGTAGTGACCATAAAGTATCTAATGTAGTTCCCAACACAGAGTACGTGCTTGAGATATGATAACTTGTATTATTATTTGTAAGGTATAATAAGTATATAGTATAGAGTAAATTTATGGAGTTTCTGAATTCAGATGTTCTCAATTTCTCAAGTTTAGGTATTCTAATGCAGCCCTCCTACACTCCAGTTCAACTGGTTAATGTTGTCTCTTCCCTATACTTGGGAATTTTTGATACATCACTAGTGTTAGATTTGAAAAGTTATTTGATTTACTCCTAATCTTTGTCATTTTTTCCCCCCAACTTAAGGCAAAAAATGGGATCCAAGAAATGGAGTGCTGTTCTTTGGAATCTGACTGGATTTATTTTCATCCTGATGCTTCTGGTAGAATAATACATGTTGGCCCAAATCAAATCAAGTGAGTAATTTCAGAAACACTTTTAAATTAAAAACAGCTTTTGATAGCATTTATTGGCATCTTTATTTTTTACCAGCTAACTATTGAGCCAGTTATGAAAATAATTAGTTTATTGTAGGGCAGTTCCTCAGAAACTGGCATCTAGAAATCTAACTTTATTCCTTTAACTTCATCATTACTATTTGTAAATATTTACATTTGAGTATAGTCTTTGATTGATGATATGTAAGTGAAAGGGACTTACAGATTGGCTGCCTTTACCAGATCCTAATTCTCTAGGATTAATAAGAAATGAGATGATTTATCCTTATTCTGAAAGACAGCCCTAACACAAGAAAGGTAGTGGGTTGTTTTTTGTTTTAGGTTTTTTTGCTTTTACACGTCTCCCATAAATTGACTTGTCCTCCCTTGAAGTGTTCTCCATTTGGTTTTCCTGACACCTCAATTCTCCTGAATATTTTCCTCCTTCTCCTATATGTCTTTTTTGGTAACCTTATATGCTTGCTCTTCTCTACCCAGACTTTCTAATTGTTGAATATCCTCAGTACTTGGGCTTTCTTCTCAGTAGGCATTCTTTTTCTTCATGATTCTATTTATTCCCTTGTCTTCAAATATCAAATATATGTACCAAAACCCCTAACATTTATATCCTAACTCAACCTTCTCATCTAAGCTTATGCCAGAAATCTGGAATTCTTTTTGATACCTCACTTTCTTGTCTTTCATCAGCATGCACACACTTAAACATGTGTGCATTGTCAGGGTGGACGCTCATACCTAGGAAGAAGATTCTGGATCCTGGCAGGTGGAAGAGGATACAAGATGCAGTTGGGATGATAGATTTTCTTTGTTTGGTGGCAATAACCCCTACCCAGCCTCATTTTGTCCCAACCAGTTCCATTTAACCCCCTAAGCCATTTCCATAGGCCTTTTTTTTATATGCAGGCCAGATGAAGGAGGCACATTGCCAATAGGTTATAAAAGTGGGTGCATGCTTATAAGCAAATATTTATGACCTTGAGTACATCCGCTGAATCAGGGTGTTTGTGACTTTGGCTACATACTAAAAACATAGCCCACTGAAAATCTCAGTGAGGGAGCCTAATTATAGCCATCTTGGGCCTGCCCTACATGCATTCTCCCTTTTTCCTCCCTTCTCTCCCCCCACACACATCATATCTTCTGTTAATACAGTCTATTTCACTACTAAATATTTTTTAAGTGTGCCTATTTCTACCATGGCCACTCATCATTTTGGTCAGACAGCTGTCTTCACTAACCTTGACTACTTAGAGGGCGTCCAGAATCCACTCTTGGACTTTATTTTTTTCTTCTCAGCAGTGAGAATCATTTTCAGAAACATGAAGTATAAAAAAACCTAAGCAACTGAATTCTGTTTTAACCATTTTGTGGCTTCTTGTTGCTCTTAGAATATAGACCAATATAGTTGACAGGGTCTGAAAGACTTCTTCCCACTCAGTTAACTTCAATCATGCTGTGTTTTTTAGACAGCTGAGGACCTATTTTCTTGGATTGGAGTCTATCTGTTTTCTGTTCTGGCCTAACCCACATGTCACTTTTTGACAGAGACCTTTCCTGATACCCTTGTTAGATTTACTCACCCACCATATTTTCATTGCATAAACTGTGTAATCTTGCACATAGAACAATTTTAATTAATTCTCCATAATGAAAGGAGAAGGTCTGTTTTGTTGATACCAGCAATTCCAGTGCTGAGCACAGTGCTTGACACAGAACAGATACTCAGTAAGTATTTGTTAAATAAGAACAGTGTCTGCCTTTTTTCTTCTTTATGCTTCATAATAATCAGTCTACCTCTCTTCATCTCTTCTTAGGAGGATGAAAGGATTTAACAAAATAAGTTTATTAGCTTTTACAAAACATTTTAAACTGTGATTCAGTTTCAGTAAACCTTACTTTGATGTTTATTATCACCCATCCTTTTAATGTTTCTTATCAATCATAATTAGTTTTAAGAAAATAAGGCCCACAAAGACTATATGTCCTTTTGCCAGGTTTTAAAAGATAGATACTTTTAAATATTGTCACTAATTCAGATAACTAATCAAGTAATTTAAAATATTATCTGATTTTTGTTTGTTTGTTTCTGGAAACTCTGAGGCATGTAGCTATCCCTGGGCACAGTACCTGCTTCTCCCAACTGTGCTCTTTACATGCACTTGAGACTTTGAGCATTTGAGAACATTGTGCTTTTGAAGCTTATTGATGATCTGATCGTATTTGTGTGGGTAGTGAGCAAATTATTTTCTCTTCTTGAATAAGCTGATCCATGAGGTCATTTGAACTCAGAAAAGCCAAATCTTTAATCCAAAGAAAAACATATTGTCAGTTGCAGTTTTTAACTATTACTCTATAATAAAAACTTAGTTCAGATTTAGTTGCTAGTCTGCTTTATAGTTAACTCTAAATATTGTTCATAGATATCTCATTCTATCTTCAGAAATAAAAATGGAAATATAGGAGCTAGGGATATAGCTCAGTTGGTAGAGCGCTTGCCTCACATGCACAAGGCCCTGGGTTCAGTCCTCAGCTCTAAAAAAAAAAGGAAATATATATTGTAATGCCATCCTTAAAACTGAGATATTAAAGACCTGTTGCAGGTGAGAAATGAGGTTCTATAGATTAAATTTAATTAAGCCAGTTTAGAAGATGTTTAGGCCTAAGCAAGCTGCTTCATGCCTACTTCATGCCTAGTACCTGTTTTAACAGTTGCTGTTTCCTATTTAATAAACTCTCTAAGTTGGAAAGAGTTTAATGAAGTAATTCAGCTTTGGCACTTTGATGGTTTTTGAGTTCTTAGGTTTGTATTTTCCCTTTTCAGAGTTTTAAAGCTAAATGAAATAGAAAATAATAGCTCTCAGCATCAGATCTCTGAGGATTTTGTCATTTTGGCCAACAGGGAGAACAAAGTAAGTCAGAATACTTTAAAATCCTTTGTATATAATTGTCTTTGTAAGAGTATATAATATACATATATGTTTGCCTTGAGTATGCATGAAAATAATAGCACAACCCTATAAGTTTATTCATGTTGTCTACATGGGTCTTAGACCCAGGTACTTAATGGATTTGAAAAGAGTTGATTGATTGTATTGAGTTTATCTTTTGCTTATTCTTCTGCATTTCTCTTTTAAGTTTTTAATGAATTTCAACCTTTGGGTCCAATTACTTGTGCAAATTTAGGATTAGGAAGATATGGTAAATCTCTAAATTTATATCCCATACTTGAACTCCAGATGGTACTTTTCCTTTGGTACTTTTCCTTAGTGTATAAATCAAGAACTAAAGAAAATGATGAGGAGTGAAATTTCTAAAAGCAAATCTACTTTTTATTTACTATTTTTTAAACTGTTAAGTCAAAAGTATAAAGGATGGATTAAGCAGCAAACCTATAACCTTGTAATTAATTAACTTTTGCCTATTCTGGGATTTTATCCACTTAAAGCCTTTACCACAAAAAAGTACTTTTACTAACTGAAGGATTAGAAATCTGATTCAGAATTTTCTCAGTTAGGAAAGAATTGTGGATGTTAAAGAAGGGCTGGTTCGTTTTACCCATTTGTTAATACAATTTTGCCTTTAACTGCATGTAACAGAATTTGTTGTATCTTTTTATTTCTCTCCATGTGATAGAATGAAAATTTAGTCACTGTTACTGCTTCTGGACGGGTGGTCAAAAAAAGTTTTAACCTTCTGGATGATGACCCAGAACAAGAGGTATTACTTTAGCCTAAGATAACAAAGCATACCAGTGTGTACTTACACTATAAGTTTCAAATTATTACTTTTAGATTGTATTTGTGTGGGTGGTGAGCTAGAGATTAGGGCTAGGGATTTTCTCTAGGCCAAATGGTAGAATTGTGTACAATTATAGTGTACAGCCCCATTATCCTCTTTTTTTATTGGAATTATTCATAATATTTTGTATGAAAGTTCATAGGGCCAAAATAATTTGAAAACATGATTAACTCATTTTTTGTTGTTGTTGTTGTTGTTGATATATTTTCTAAGAAAATCTCTTAATAGAAAATTCTCAAGATTATATTAGCATGCCTTTATGACCTTTACCTTATGTTTTTACTTACTAGATATGGATATGTTGTTAATATTCATGGGCCAGAGGAAGTAGGTGTGAGGGTATGACAAATCCTTTCAGCCTTTGCCCTCAACTTGGCATCACCAGTCACCGAATATATTTTTATCTTTCCTTTAGAGACATTGAAAGTATTATAAAAGCCTTAAATATAAAACTATTGCATAATACTAAATCCACTTAAACCTTATAACTATATTGTTTGTATGAGCATATCAAGGTGGAAACAGAGTAACCTTCTACGGACAGTTTTTGAAAATCTTCTAGGTTTTGAAAATCTTCTAGGTTAGATGTAGCCCAGGATATGGTGTTCTGTCAAAAAACAAAACAAAAAATTATATTCTTTTGGATCACAGAAATCTATTAAGAAGGAAGCAAAAAGCTTCCTACACCATATATAAAAGTATATTCAAGAAAGATTTAGTCAAATTGCCAAATAGTAGCAGAAGTAAGGGGCAAAGAATGACAATAAATAGAGAGATGCTCTATTTCATGAGGTTATAAAGCAAAATTTTTTAGCCTTTAAATGAAAAGTTGAAAGGGATTCTGGCTAAAATCTATAAAATCACTAATAGGTAATAAGTTACATTTTGAAAGTTGACCGTGGTAATAAAGAAAAAAAGTAAATAAAAAGGAATCATAGATAACAAATCTATAAATTTTTGTCATAAAGTGGTAAAGACAGAAAATACAAATGGGTTAAAAAGCAGTTTGACCAAACCTAAGTGAAGGATTAATTAGTAGTTGGTGATTAAGAGAAACTTTTGTGCCTTCCTAAAGGTTGATAACAGGCATCTGGTCCATTATTGGCTGGCCATGCACTGATCTGCCTCCTCAGGTTTTCTCCCTACAGGCAGAGTTCTGATTTTTTTGTTTGTTTTGTTTTTGTTTTTGTTTTTGTTTCTCTCTTTACCATAGCTAAGCCTTCTTGACCCAGTCCTGTTCTGTAGGCTGGATTTCAGTTCCCAATATTTCCTCTCAAGTATAGATAGCCACTTTTCTTTCTTTAGGGAACCAAAAAGGATTTTTAAAAGAACCAAAAGGGGGCTAGGGTTGTGGCTCATCGGTAGAGCACTTGCCTAGCAAAGGCAAAGCCCTGGGTTCGATCCCCAACACAACATAAAAATAAATAAAGACCAAAAAAATGGAATCATAAAAAAAAAAAAAAACGGATGGCAAATAGGAGTCATAAATAGTGCATGATAGGTTATCAGTCCTTGAAATGACTGTTTTTCCAGAGTGAGAACTTTTAGAGCTCAGAGAGCAGTCTTCAGGTTTCAAATCTGAGCTTCTTATATTTAGACCAGAAACCTGTGAACACACATCAAAGGCAGCAGTTGACTACTTTTGAATTTGGAGAGGTCTGGTTTGCTGTCATTGTAGAGATTCCATTTTTACTCTGAGATATATATGTATATAAACTTGGATCCATTTGTCAAAATCTTTAGGATATTGCTAAGTCTTCAAAGTCTGAGGCTGATGTTTAACTAGGCATATGAATAGACACATTTCTACTTTTTCACCTATTCACTTTTCCTTTGGCCATATGTTTGTAAGTAATAGAAGAGTTAAACTATAAATGTAGTAATACTCCTAACTGAAAAACTAGATTTGAACCCTCTTTTCATTGCCTTACCCATCTATCCCCAAGACTTTCAAAATTGTGGATTATGAAGATGAGTTGGATTTGCTTTCTGTGGTAGCTGTTACGCAAATAGATGCTGAAGGGAAAGCTCACCTGGATTTCCACTGTAATGAATATGGAACTTTACTTAAAAGCATTCCACTAGTGGAGTCATGGGATGTGGTAAGTAGAAATGATGGGACACAAAATTATGAGTTTTCTTTATGGGTGCCATTTACTGGAAAAGGTGTTACGTTTTACTTGTCCAGACTCGTCTATGCTGGTGACCACATGAAAGAAGTCATTGTCCAATACATGAAACAAAATGAACTTTCTTAAGCTTCCCCAGCACTCAGGGACGCTTCCCTTAGTGAAGGCCTTAAAAAGAAAGCTCTCATGTTTTCCTAAGACTTTCTTCCTTACCATAGTATGATTTTCTCCCAATTATGTCTTTGTTAAATGCAAAGTATAAGATAATTAGTCCCAGTTATTCCGGACCATCTCTAAGCAAGTTGGATTTCCAGGCACTCTTAGAAACATTTGTCTCCTCTTCCAACTACTATAGAATATAAAAGTTAAAAGGAACACCAGACATTCTATCCAGGACTTGTTTTATCAATGGAAAACTTGAGAGGCACCACAGCTTGTACCCCATCACACAGTAAAATAGATATTAGCAGTGTTTCACTATAGAATCTTGATATTTAGACTCCTAAGTTCAGAATTCTTTTCATTCTCTATATTTTATACAATTTTTTTTTCACTAGTAATCTTTATATCCACAAACAATTAAAAATAAATGTTTTGTGTATTCATTGTATATTCAATGATCCCAAGTGACACAATAATGAATATGGTTCTGTGAAAATGAGATTTCATATGACTGTTTTTATTACAGACATATAGCCATGAAGTCTACTTTGACAGAGACTTGGTGCTACACATAGAACAGAAACCAAACAGGGTCTTCAGCTGCTATGTTTACCAGATGGTATGTGACCCTGCAGAAGAAGAAGAAATCCTAAACAAAAGTTATTAAAAGGAGTGAAATAATTATAACTTATGAAACTTTTAGCCAAACAACCCAGGAACTGTGTTCCAATCCTCCTTTTATTATTTGTATGGCACATTCTGCAGTATTTTCCAGAAAAGGTGTTGGGTTGACTTCAGATGACTAAAGCTTTTACCATAGAAGGTGCTGAGAACTTCATTTTATGAAAAGGTTTGTGTATTTTTTAAAATGTTGTCCCAACAAGTCTAGTTTTTTGGACTTTTAGCTACGTGCTAATGCAAATATAAAATGCTAAAAGCAGAAAGGACAGGTTAATCCCAGTTGGTGTGGAGAGAGTATCACTGATGTGGAGATGTCTGACCCGGTTCTTAAAGGACAGTATGGAATTGTGATTGGTGAGGGTAGGAAAGAGACAAAAATAGATACAAATTATAGATTCAGAAAAAATTCTGTCTACTCTGTACCAAATTTTGCTTGAGGATGAAAAATGAGATGTAGAATGTGAAAACATAATTTTGAGCCAAAATGTTGACATTAGAGTGTTTTTTTAATCATATATATGTATATAGGATTTTGTATTTGTATACCATATCAAGGATTAACTCTAACTCCCAAATTACCTTTCTTCCATGGTTTTATTCTTTTGGCTTAATGTCCCATTGAGTATTTGTGCTTATATTATAGACTAATATAAAAGATTCCAAGCAAACCTGAATGAATTTTTTTCTGATATGTAGCCTTTTTAACTCAGTATTTCTAAGGATGCTCTCATTTCACCATTCTATTTATTTTGTGAGTCTAACCATTTTGTTGAGGCAATGTTTTCATACCTATGCAAGAAAATAAAGGTACTCTGACCTGCACCAATTGAATTCCCTGGAGAAGAGTTGATAAGGTCCCAGAGGAAATTCTTCCTAATGTGGAAATTACCCAATTAGCCAGAGAAAATTTTGGCTATCTTAATTATGAAAGGAGTATTTTTCCCTTCATTTTTAAGAACAAGTCTAAATATGATACTTAAACTCCAATAATCATTCTTCATACTATTAAAAAAGGCAGCTAAGCCTTTATATAGGGAGGAAATGTTTCTTTATACTTCCTGTCTGAGAAATGCAGTTATTGCAATCCATATGTTTAGCATATTTCTTTGGTTCAGCCTCAGAAAAATAACTAGTTTTAAAAAAGAAGAAGGAAACATTTGTTTAAAAAAAATCATTGCTGATTCAAGCTTAAAATTAAAATGTGGAATTTTAGCTTGAATGATTTACATTAAAATCCTTCAGTTTTGGCTCAATCCCATATTAAGAATGATGTGAAATCTATTCCATTCTGCTCTTGAAAGTTTGGAAATAGATTTCTGATTTATTATGATCATAGGACTAACAAAGTGTTAGCTGTTCCAAAAGTTAAGGAATTGGTAGCAGGGTCAGTAAATTTAAAGGAAATAAACCTAAAACTGTCCTTTATGTAAAAGGAAAAAATAAATAAATAAGAAAAATTATAAGTTGAATATCCCTTATCTGATGCTTGGAACTAGAAGTGTTTTAGAATTCTATTTTTTTCCAATTTGAGAATATTTGCATGTACATAATGAGGTCTTGGCAATGAGACCCAAGTCTAAATATGAAATGGTTTTATGTTTCATATATACCTTATTCACATACCCTGAAGGTAATTTTATACAATATTTCTAGTGTGCCTACTGTTTTGGTTTTTTTTTTTTTTTTGGTGGTGCTGGGGATTGAACTCAGGGCCTTATATATGCAAGGCAAGCACTCTACAACTGAGCTGTACCCCCAGACCTTGTGTGCCTACATTTTGACTGTGTTTTATCACATGAAGTCAGGTGTTAAAATTTTCCATTTGTGGCATCATGTTAGCAATCAAAACGTTTCAGATTTTGGACTTTGGATTTTTCAGATTAGGGATGCTTAACCTGTACTGACATTTTAGAATAAGCTGAAATATTTATATGTGAGCTAAAAATAATTTTTTCTGAATCTGATCCTATGTATAATAACCATCTGGGAAAGTAGAAGTGATTACCTCACAAGCAAGATGATAAAATTATCTTCATATGTTAAATTATAATATTTATTATCTGCTAATTGAAAAATCTATTTTGTGCATATTTAATAAATACTGTTAAATATCTCTTAAGCTTTCAGAGATTTTAAAGATATTATTATGATTACAAAGCAATTAAATAGTTACAGTGTGACAGTGTGCTAGATCTTGCTGCAAATTTTCAGTTAGACACTAGCTATATCTAAGCAATCCTGCATAGTAAATGTACATCCTGAAAAACAAGTCTGGTAAGAGGAGCACAATAGCAGAGAAAAGAAAGAAACAATGCTGTGTGAGCTTCAAAGCAGGTGCAGTGCTGTGTATCAGCAGTGTTTGCTCTTCATTTCTAGAGAACAAGGTTGTCTTCAGACTTCAGTTCTGGCAGAGTTTTGTTGTTTTTAAGGTAGTTATTGGGTTTTTCCTCTTAATTCATCGCCGACTTTTAGTAAAACGATAGAAAGGAACTCATCTACTCAGAAAGGCATTTGAGAAATACCTGCAGTGCCTGACAGGGTTAGGAGTAGGATCCTTCTAGTCTAGATAGGAATAGACCACTAAGAAATTTGTAATGTATCATCACCATTGAAATCTGACTAGACTAGGCCAAATGCCATACAGGCTAGGCAGGAAATACACCTAGTGTGAAAGACAGTAGGGAATTGTGGACAATGTAACAAACAGGAGAGCTAAATCCCAACTAAAAGGATAAGCTGCAAGTACTTAGTTTCAGCCAATTTAATAATATTTGAAAATGTAAACTAGATGATTGATAAACAATGCCAGATGTCTGGGGTTGTAGCTCAACAGTAAAGTGTACACAGCAGGTGCAAGAGTGCTGAGTTTAATCCTCAGCACTGCAAAAGAAAAGATGCCAAAAGATACTGAAGATAGCAAAGAATGTGGGAAAATTAAATAGCACAAATAACAAGAGACAGTACTATATGCTTCCCCAAAGATATGGGCTTCCTATCACTCTAGTGTCATGCACCTTCTCATTCTGCCACCTGTCAGACAGCAGACTTTGCTATTCAGTTTGTGGGTGATGGGGCATGATACTTAACATCCTCCTGTCCCACCTTGACCCTACCTCTGCACTGGCTATGTGATTCTAACTATGTGCCAACATACTTAACAAGTGCTAGTGACAGGTACAAAGCATTATGGGTACAATTTCTGAGTGTTTAATGCAAGACCCAGTGAAGTAGGTTGCTTTTCAGCAAGTACAGACATTAAACTAAAAAGAGATACATTTCTGCATTTCACTCCTTGATCTAAGTTTCTGTATTTTCACACTATTGATGCAGCAAGCTTATTATTATTTGACTTTCTACATTATTTCTTTCAACTCTGGGAGAAGACAAAACAAATCCTATCAGTTACTGTTTGAACAGACAAATGAAGAGAAGATAATATTCTATTTAAACAAATTAAGGCACTCAACATTCTTTTACCAATTGAATGTTTTGTGTCTTATGCACACTTATTTTTAATAACGGAAACTTAATTTTATTATTTCCTGTATACCAGTCATTAAGACACATGTAAAATGGTTGTCTCACTTGATATTCAAAATAATCATATGAGGTATAAGCTATCATCTTCCCCTTTTATACATATGAGGGAAGAAAGTGAAGCTTATAATAGGTATGAAGGAAAGTATTTAGTGGTTTTTTTAAGTACTGAGGATTGAACCCAGAGGTACTTTTACCACTGAGCTACATCCCCAGTACATTTTTTATTTTGGGACTGTCTCACTAAGTTGCTTAGGGCCTTGCTCAGTTGCTGAGGCTGGTCTTGAACTTTCAATCCTCCTGCCTCAGTCTCCCGAGTCTCTGGGATTACAGGCATGTGCCACCAAGCCCAGCTTGTGTGTTTTAAAGGATGATTAAAGATCTAAATTTTGGATAAGACACAGTCAATACATCCATCATTTGACTAAAAAGATGGTTCTTCATTCAGTAGTTAGAAGATGTTTAAAAATGATACTCATTTTAATACTCAGTGATACTAATTGTAGTGACAATAAACATTATTTTCAGTAATACATTTCTTTTTTATTTTTAGTTGTGGACAGATACAATAACTTTGTTTTATGAATTTATTTTTATGCGGTGCTGAGGATCAAACCCAGTGCCTCTCATGTGCTAGGCAAGCGCTCTACCACTGAGCCACAACCCCAGCCCCAGGAATATGTTTCTTCTTTTCCTTAACCATGTTTATACATGTATCATCTACCTTTTAGAATCCTTAAAAAAATTCAGAAGCTAATGTTTGGTCCCTGCGCTGCAATAGAATCTGTGTTTTATGGAAAGAAACTTTACTTCAAGCAAAGGATATATAAGAGAAACATAAAATCAACTAAGGACCTTTCCCCATCATTTTATTATGAAAATTTTGAATATACACTAAAGTTGAAAGAATTTTATAGTGAACAACCAAACACTAACCACATGGACTTGACATTTTATTAAACTGGTTTTGCTGTTTACCTGTCCAGCTTACTATTCAGCACATGTCAAAATAAATTGCAGATGTCAGCATACTGCCCCCAATATATTAGCATGTTTATGATTATTTAGTATTTATTTTTAAATTTAAAATTTAATGCAATAAAATGCACAATTTTTCAGTATAAATTTCCTCAGTTTTTTGCAAATGTGTAACCTAAACCTTTTTCAAAATTGAAACCATTGCAATCATCCCAAAAAGTTTCCTACTATCTCTTCCCAAGCCATCTCCATCCTTCATGTGTGACTCTTTTCTGATTCTTTTGTATACTGGATTAGATTTTCCTGTCCTAAAACTTCATTTCACCCATCATAATGCTTTTGAGATTTATTTATGTTGTTGTATATTTTAATTGCTGAGTAATATTTTGTATGAATATGTCACAGTTTTCTATCTTACTGTTGATAGATCCCTGCACTATTTCTGCTTTTGTTTGTTTGATTTTACTATTATAAATAAAACTGCTTTAGACATTCTTGTACACATTTTTTTGTGAATGTCTTTATTTCTCTTGGATACATTTCTTGGGATAGAATTTTTGTGTCCTCTGGTAGGTGTATGTCTAATAAGAAACTGCCAGACCTTTTTCCAAAGGAGTATACCATTTCACTTACCTCAAACACTGTAGAAGACTTCCAGTTACTCTATATTTTACTTAACATTTATGGTTGATAGCCTTTGTTAACATTTATGATGGATGTGTTATCACTTCTAATTGATAGATTGTTTCTACTTGTTTTTAACAGCCTTCTTATGAATGATATTTGAGTCTTTTCACACTGCACCCTCACCTTGAGGAACTGCTGAAAACATTCTTTGTGATAATTGTTAAAATAACCCACAACTCAGGTTGCAAATGTATAACCTAAACCTTTTTCAAAAGGGCTGTCAGCTCAGTGGTAGAGTGCTTGCCTAGTATGTGTGAGGCACTGAGTTCAATTTACAGCACTGCATATATATATATATGTCCATCAACAACTAAACATATATTTTTAAAAGAATATTTTAAAAAAAAGATAGCCCACAACTCAGCTTGAATTATTCTTTATCAAACATGGAATATAATCAGGTGAATTTTTCTCTAACATGAAAGTGTATTAAATAAGTTTTATGCCTTTCCCACTAACTGTAGTGTTCTAGGCTACATATGTTGTGATACTAAATAATATATTCATGTTTTAGAACTGTTAAAAAATTTAGAAACTTCATTTTTTCTTTCACTCTTTCTGATTATCAATTCGAGTTCCCTAAAATTTGTTCCAAAGAGTACAGATTCATGACCCAGCTATCCCTCTCCTTGGTCTATACCCAAAGGACTTAAAAATAGCATACTACAGGGACACAGCCACATCAATGTTTATAGCAGCACAATTCACAATAGCTAAACTGTGGAACCAACGTAGATGCCCTTCAATAGATGAATGGATAAAAAAAATGTGGCACATATACACAATGGAATATTACTCAGCAATAAATGAGAATAAAATCATGGCATGGAGTTAGAGAAGATAATGCCAAGTGAAGTTAGCCAATCCCCAAAACCCAAATGCCAAATGTTTTCTTTGATATAAGGAGGCTGATTCATAGTGGGATAGGGAGAGGGAGCATGGGAGGAATAGACGAACTCTAGAGAGGGCAGAGGGGTTGGAGGGGAAGGGAGGGGGCATGGGATTATTAATGATGGTGGAATGTGATGATCATTATTATCCGAAGTACAGGTATGAAGACACTAATGGTGTGAATATACTTTGTATACAACCAGAGATAGGAAAAATTGTGCTGTGTATGTGTAATAAGAATTGTAATGCATTCCGCTATCATATATAAATAAAAAATAAATAAAATTTTTTTTAAAAGAGTACAGATTCAGTCCCTTTCCTCATGGTCACTTAAACCCTACCTGGGAGACTGGGAATCTCTGCCTCTTCTATAGACCCACTAAAAAATACCACACACAGGGTACTAGGATCGCTTGTAGAATCCCATGAGATTAATAGATAATAGCAATGAAAGGGAGGTTTCAAACGAGCAAAAGCTTGAAAAACTTGTCTGATAATTCTATTTAACTTATTGGTTGGTGTCTTTTCCCCCCACCTGGTACTAGGGATTGACCCAGGGCCTCATGC